TCGTGAAAATCTCTTTAATTCCCCACTTCATCATAAAGACTCCCACACCGGATGAACCAAACACTTTCTCGAGCTAAAACCAATCTTGTAAAAGATCCAATAGAAACTTCTTCAGATTCCTCCTTATCATTACCAGAAACATTGTCCCTTCCATCAACACCTTCAGTCACAGATCACACAACATCAGCTACATTCCCCACAAACTTTCCAAGTCACTTAGACGACAGATACCGTGAGAGGTACAACTACACCTTTACGCTTAGATTGGAATTACTTTGTAGAACCTCCTCCTTTTTTTGGCCAACAACTCGATAGCAACCGAGTCCAAAATTGACACTAAACAGACTACAATACAGACACGATATTCTCAAAGACATGCAAGAACATCATATCCAAATACTTTCACTACAAAATTTAATTTGAACTTGATATAACAGTAAGACTAAAAGATTTAGTTTATCATCTATTACCATTGTCTCTATCAGACATCGGCACTCACTCTTTACCCCCTCTATTTATCACAACAGAACTATCTATAAAAAAAACTAGATATACAAAGAGCATAGCTTATTTATCAATTTATAGTCCCCTTCCAAGACTATCATACACATGTATCTTTTGAGTGTTTTTTTAAATAAAAACCTTTCCTTTGTAGTACATCTTGAATCCATCGATCACAAAAACCCTTCCCCCGAACAGGACCACAAGATCTTGTTCTTGTTGCACATTATGATTGTGAAGATCACCAACGAAAAAACACTACATAAAAACGCAACAAACTAAATCACATTTAGTAAATCAGATCCAGAAGCGATTGAATCATCAACTATAGTAGCTACACTTTACTCCAAAGCCCGGGCTACAATTCTATCAGGTTTTAAATTTAAAGAAAAAATCTTTGAACAAAAACTTTGATCACAACTTCCAATCGAAATGGGAACAAAAATAGACTCGATCATGAATCTGTTTACCAAAGTAACACAGAAAGACTATCACATCTTGACCCCGATGGTTGTAAAAAGGAACTCAATCGTTTAAAAGTAGTCACAAACCCAGAAGGAAAATCATAAATCATTAAGTTCTTAAGTTTTTCCAGACTCTGCTCAGCTAGCCCAACTTGAACACCACCAATGTCATATATAGCTAGGCGATAAATCTTCTTGTCATGGCGCACACGAACGTTTAACATACGATTTACAGAAGAGAAATTGGATTCCTCATAAGGGAATAAATAACCCGTTGAACTGTAAAGCAGAGACAAAAAATTCAAGCTATCAAGAAATAATGTTTTGGTTCCCTGAAGACACATGCATCACATTTCAAGTTGCAAAAAATCATTCAAGAATGATAAATATTCAAAAAAAGTACTTGATAGAATCCATACCCTTTGATAAAGTAAACCCTGACCGAACCAAGTCAAACCCAAATCAATATAAAAACATACATGGTATAGAAAACATAATAACACGTTTTCAAATCTACCCTGAAATTGAAGTAGCATGTAAATACTCAAGAATCATTTTCCGAACACAAAATTCAAAAAATGTTATCGAATACAAAAAAAGTTTATACATGATAACAGGCAAACTATTTCTTAACATTGTTAACCCAAACAGAAATAGAGAAAACAACAAATCTCGCATCCCGGTAACATTCTCCAAAAATAAAAAAACATTGGAGGAAGACAACAAAATTTTTCACTGATGAAAAACACTATGAGTTTCACCTCGATATGAAATTAGATTACACAATCAACAGAATGTTTCAAGAAACTTAATTTTCCGAAAGAGAGACCCTACATCACTGACGTGAGCTAGAACGAACACAAAAACTACAATATCTCATTTTAGCAGTACTAAAAATACATTAGGAAGGATATCTCTCATCAGGCATCCGCTCTATCTTCAATAAATACAAAGGAAACATCCTTTGGTATTACACCTGCACTAAAAAGTTTCACTACTTTGTTTTTACAAGACAAAAGATGCTACTAACGCACGCATAACTAATTGATAAAAACAAAGTACTTTTTGTAGGTACGCTATTACGCCTAACATATTTTTGAGATACAGCTGTACCATGTGGATCTGAAAATAGCCATACTGTAGTACAGCCTGACCCAAATGAAGATAAACTTTATCTTTTTACTCCATACCCTACTTTATTGCCGCTCGTAACCCAAATATAGACCTACAATCAATAAGCATTTACTCCAAAACAGATTTACAATATCTTGTTCGAACAAAATTTGAGAAAACTGGATCAAAAGATAAAAATTTTCTTTGCTGGGAAATCCGACTATTAAATTCCATTTTTGAATTTAGAAGTCGATCATGTTTTTCGTGACATTTGCACTGTTGCTGCTTGAATGTGGAGTTTGTGAAGATTCTAGACGCAAAAAACTACCTTGCGTCGCAAAAAAGAACTTCGCTCAACAAAACAACTCAGACTGGAATTCCGGGAAAATCAAACAAGTTGACTATCCAAATACAGGCTTCCTAAGCCTTAATACTAATAGTTTCTCTACGAATCGCAGGAACATCAATTATAGAGGATATCCTAGATCTCATGGGATTTTCTAGCTATACCCCTGCGGTGCCCAGTAGCATTTATTCGCCTCTTCAAACGACTGGTGCGACATTTTTTCATAAGATAAAATTGATATAGTAAGCAATCTCTGAAAACTGAGGGGTTCAGGGGGAGAGGAAGCGTATGCATGTATTAGGGCGAAAAGTATGGGCGGCGGCCCCCTCCACGTGAATTTGAGCTCCTACAGACTCAAAGGGTCCCCCTTTGGTACTATTTAAGACATCCATTTTTGGCTGGCCGACTTCGTCAAAATTTCGTCAACATTTTCCAATTAAGTGCACAAAAACGTCTTTTTTGGCCTTATTTTTCAAAAAAGAACTGCTTGCGGCACAAAAAATTTGCTCGAAATAATTTCTTTGTAGTGATTTGGGACATCACAGAAAATCAATCTGGATGACAAAAAAGTCGACAAAAATTTCGAAAACCCCGAGTCCCCCCCCCCCGTCTCGAGAAAATCCCAGATGTGCCCTGGTTCTGATCGAAATAATTATAGTTTTTAAATTTTTATGCGAGTCTATACATTGCCATAGGAACATATTCCAAAAAAATGAAAACGATTAATTGAAAATAAGAATCAGTTGCGAGAAAAATAATGACACTCGCAAAATCAAAACACTGCGTTCATTGAGACTTAGAACGAATAATTGAAACATTTTTCAACAGAAGGCAGGAAAAAATCTCAAGGAAATTGCAATAGGTTTTTTAAAAAGTTTTGAACTTTCGAAGAGAAAAATTGTTTCTTTAAGCTCGTTCAAAATTTCAAAAAATTATTGTTCCGACTTTCGATACGAAAGTAACGGAATATTTGTGCTCGGGGCGGGTTTTTTTATCTTCAGACAAATTTCGACTTTTTGACTAGGCATTTTTGACGGAATCTTTTACATCATTCGAAAGGTATTGTTGTCTTCAGCTCAAATTTGAAAAGATATTTTACCTGCGATCATTTTTCGTAGAGTTACGGGGGTTTAAAGATTGCCATTTTGGCCAATTCGGGACAATTAACGCGCGGTATATTTCGCGCTATTAACGCGTAAGCGGAGAGTTAATCCGTCTTAGAAACCGTTCCAAATTGGTTAAAAGAAGCTTATTTGCCAGAATTGGTTTGTTACAAGGAGCGAAACTTATCTTTTTGTACTTTACATGGCGTGTGGGGGGATGATTTTTAAAAAAATCACATTTTGGAAAAAAAAAAATTTTCAATTTGTTTTATTTCATTGAATTTTTTTAATGTTATTACTGCTCCATAAACCTTAAAAGGCAGTCGGAACATTCAAGGTTTCGCCCTGATACGAGCAGTCTTGTTTTTTCTGGAGAGCATATTTGTCATATACTAACACAATTAGAAAAAAGTGGGCCAATAGGTAATATCAATTTTCCCTTGGGAAATCTTGAAGATAAAATACACTTTCAAATCTAAGCAAGTTATGTTTCTGCGCACCTTCTGTATTTATTGTAATTGAAGAAAGGGTAACTTCCCAAATGGAATATTTTCCCAAATGGCATAAAAATGAAACTTTTCTCAAATGGCATACATTTCAAGTTTTCATTGTAATTCGTTTTCTATCAACGTTTTCTATCGATTTCTAATTCTAACATTTAGTCACAAACGAAAACATGTGAACAAGATTTAGAATTAATTGCTTACAAACAATTTTACGCAACAAATTTGTCGGAAAAATTGACCACATGAAGCTTATCAATAACCGCAACTTTATGATTTTCGCTTTTGATATTTTTTTGACAATTTTGAGGTGAAATGTCAATTAACATTTGAATTGACAACTTGACTAATGTTCTCGCGTTATTTTTAACGAAAAACTTGTTCTCGATTTTCTTAATGCACCTGTTGCATCAAATTTATGCCATTTGGGAAACTTTTCATTTTTATGCTATTTGGGAATTATGCCATTTGAGACGTAATCGAAGAAAGTAACTTACTTTTCAATTAACAAGTGAATTTTAATTGAAATTAAACAATAAGTTTGAAGTTAGTTTCCATTGAATATGAAATCGAAATCGTGACTATGAGCAACTTTCGACATTTTTCTTGAAAAAACGATAACTAACGCGACCTTAAAAATAAAATGTGTCCTAATTTAGAAGAATGCGACTAACTAAGGAAAATTTTTTTTGGCTATGGATCGATGGTACTTTTTTCGTGACCTTGTAATAGTTCCGTTCTGACTTATCATCACTCCATATTCTCTTCTCGTCTCTTGCATACTTTGAACTGCACTTTCGTCTCATCATGTTTGCCTGCTGAAATTTTTCTTCGTGAAGTTTTTTATCTTTAAAGGTCTCATCCAAACTTATTCACATTTCTGGTCAATAAATTAGATGTTAGATAATAAGTGTTCAATCAATTTTTCACGCCTGGCTCAATTTTGGTATAAAAAAAGCTGGTAGAAAATTTTATTCATGTTAATAGAAAACCTAATCTGTGACAGAACAAAAAACACTTTATTGTTTTACACTACAACTTTTATGAAATTAAACTTGATATAAAAAGCTGATTATTGTTAAGCTAATTCAGTTATTTTACAAATAACGAAACGATTCAAATTAATTATCAGCAAGGTTGTTTCATCATTTGTGTACGCTTGGTGCGCTTAGATATATGTATAAATTCTAATAACTCCTCGTAAATTTATTCCAACTAAGCCATTTGTTCACTACATGTGCTTTCAAGCCTAGATCCTAGGCGCGACCGATTGGCGTAGACGAATGATGCCGACAGGGGTGTAGACGGTTCGGATATTCTCGAGTTCCACAACGAGTTGTTTCGTGTAATGTACAATTCGGCACTTTGATCTGGGTCCCACTCCAAATGCGACGCCCCCTCCGAGAACGTCGGCGATGATTCATTAGACTTCGGAGGGTCAAACACATTGCGGTTTGCGGATTCGTCAAGTGCACGAGAGATGCGCGAATTTGCGGATTCGTCAAGTGCACGAGAGATGCGCGAGTTGCTTTGACCTCGGCGATTTGATTCGTGCATCGAATAGATTGTAACCGGGTCGTCTGTGATTGAGTTCGGATTCCGCCCGCGTCTTTTCGAGCAAAACTTTGATCCTTTTTTGGTACAAAAACGTAAAATAAGAAAAACGAGCATCAGAATTAAAGATAGGAATGCGATTAGAAAAGCTAAGAAGACCAAAAGCAAGTGAGCAACTGGCCAATATTGAGTCGAAGAAGACTCAAGTGACGAATTAGGGTCGATTAAGTCCAACTTCATAGTCTGGTTGAAGAAGGAGTTGAAGACAGTGCACGTGATATCGGAATCCGGAGAAGGTTCTAGAATGTTGTTCTGCTTGTTGTTTTTGGAGTGAAGTTTGATGATAAGTTGGCCTTCGTTGTCAATCGCAGCCTAAAAAGAGGACATGAATTGGTTGACATTTTCTCGAGCAATCTATGATTATACGAGTACCGCCGAAACTTGCCTGTTGTGATTCAGTATTTTTAGTATGTTATAACCTTGACCTCTATGACCTAATTACATACCAGTCAATAATAACTCTACGAAGTCCAGTGGACTTCGAGTCACTAGTTGCTCTTTTTAGACTACAGTCAGTTTTAATTCAAACATTACTTTTATCCTCTTTTAACTTTAGTTAGATACTCAAGTTACCATTGGTACATCTTAACTCTTTATTATTGCCAATATAAGTTATGATCCATTAAGCGCTAGATTTTTTAACACACATTTGTCTTACTGAGTCATTTGTCCTGTCAGGGAAGTTTGGATTGGTATTTTATGCCTAAGCTACTTATGTCTTTATAAAATGAACGTCAAAAATATCGTACAAGAATATAAATGCGTCAGCAAAGGTGGTTGACGTTTGCGCTTTGTTTGCATTTCTAATTAATCGTTGGACTGCCTCGCGATTTTGGTAAAACTCGGTCAGCAACGGTTCTTTACCAAGTGAAAAACTCAATAGTTTGGCCCCTAGGGTGTAAATGAAAAGATCGTACTTATGTTTAAATTTGCGCTGCGAGTCTACTGTTGGTCTGGTATAAGCGAAGCTGATTGTGTGCTTTATTCGGATATCCCTAAAGTTTTTGCGAAGTTTTCAAATTTTAAAGACAAATTCCAATGAGAAAGTTGTAATAAAAACAAATTTGCTTTATATCAGGACAAAGAAAACGAATGTCATCACTGACATTTAACGTCGATGAAAATAATTTAATCGATGAAAATAATTTAGTTCAAAAATTATTGAAAAATAATCAAAAAAAATCAAACTAATTTTTTTCATTTTTGTGTTTAAGTTTATCCTCCCATACGCTTTGTAACAAAAACGTACTGAGCAGAATCAAGTCGCTGCGCACGCGCTAATAGCCCGATATATTTTGCGCGATAACTCAAAGAACCAATGGAAGGGGAGACGACGTTACCAATCCTAGAAGGCGCCCAGGAGTCAGAAACTGACCAACAGAGGAAAGCCAGGGAGGCCAGGAACAAAGAAACAATGCGAGTCTATGAACACGCTGAAGAGAAAAGACTAGCAGAAGAAAAGAGAAAATTCGGAGGAATGAGGAGATACGAGGCCGATAAAAAAGTAAGGTCAATCCTATACTTGGCCTTAGGAGCGGAAGGCAAAAGAGTTTTCGCCCAGAAACATCCAAGGGTAAAAATCCTAGGAATCTCATTCAAGGAGTTTTACGAAATGCTAGAATTGGCTTTTATCAAACCAACCAACATAACATTCGAACGATACAAATTATTGAGCAGGAAACAAAAGGATAGAGAATCCTATGAACAATTTTGGGGCGCGTTATCAGACTTGGCGAGATCATGTGAAATTGGAATTAATGCAGAACAGGAGTGGATCAGAGACGTATTTATCTTTAACATGAAAAACTGCGACTTACAACGTAGACTACTTTCGGAAACTCTCAATCCATTGGATGCATTAAACCAAGCTATAATTGACGAAAAAGGCTACTACAACCACCTCAAACTGACCAATATGACTAGATCTTTCAACACGACAGGAAATAGTGGAAGAGGGTATAAAAACTTCAACAAAGTTAAAAAGGAACCAAGCTTAAACATAGAAAGATCTAATACTTGTATGAAATGCGGGAATGCGTTTACCAAGGGTCATCTGAATGTGTGTCCGGCGAAAGAAATCGTGTGTAATATTTGTAAATATAAAGGACATTTTGGAAGACTTTGTAAATCGAAAGGAAGAAAACCCGCTGTAAATACTGTAGATGAAGCTGTAAATAGTCAGAATTGTTCATATTCCCCAGAAGATCTTCAGATGAGAAGCGAAGAAAATTTTTGTGGAGTTATTAACGCTTGGACCGAAGAGGGGATAAGTGATAACGATGACTATTCCGTCCTCAACATTAGAACAATCTACGATACCAATGGTTTGGAAACAAAAAAACTTGTCAACATCGGTTTGGGAGACGACGCGATAGTCAACTTGAATATTCCAGTGGATTCGGTAAGCCCAGTGAGTTTCCTGAAACAAAATGTACTTCACGAATTGAAGCTGAGAAATCCACAGTTGAAGATTCAGCCAGTTGAGAAGAAAACGAGGGAATTATACTGCGGATTCACTAACGACACAATCAACATCATCGGGAAGGTGGTTGTGAGGTTACAATCCAATGGATGGACCGCGGACGAATCCCCATTTTTCATCACTTCTGGACATGAGAGGAACATCCTGGGTAACGACAATCTCCCGAGAATTGGAATAGAGATAGCCCAAAGACAGCCTCTACTACCCGTCAACAACATATCACACACAGAATTGTGTAAGTCAAATAATTATTCAGATACGACCCTTAATCTGTATCATAGGTACAAAGGGCTATTTAACAGAGTGGGAAAAATACCTTCGGACAGAAAAGTTACTCATTTCCACTCCCCATTCAAACCTATCCAAACCAAAGGTCGAAGAGTTCCCTTACATCTACTCGATAACGTAAAAATGGAACTAAATAGAATGGAAAAAGAGGGGCACATCTTAAAGTTGAACAAATGCGACGAAGATTGTTTTATAAGCCCAATTGTGATTACAAGAAAAAAAGACGGTAGCATCAAGTTGGCACTAGATTCGAAATTATTAAATAATCAGATATTCAAAAACAAGTACCAGATGCCAAACATACATGAACTGATCGATAATATTGCTCTCCAATTGTCAAGCAAAGAGTCAGGGGAAGTTTGGTTTAGTAATCTAGATCTAAAGAACGCATACAGCCAACTACAATTATGCTCAGACACTAGCAAACAGTGTAACTTTAGTATCGTGGGGGGCGAAACCACTGGAACCTATAGGTTTTTAACTGGATTTTACGGATTGGGCGATATGCCAAACGAATTTCAGAGGGTAATGGATTCTTTATTGAAAGATATTCCTTTTACCAATTGTTATATCGACGACATTTTAATAGCTTCGAAAGGTTCATTTAATGAACACAAAACGATACTAACAAACATTTTAAACATTTTGGACAACAAGAACATGGCGGTAAAATGGGAAAAATGTGCATTCTTCCAAAAAGAAATAGAGTGGCTAGGTTTCATGATATCAAAATCGGGCGTGAAACCATTGGTGGGAAAGTCAGATTCGATTAAAAATCTACCAAACCCCAAAAACATATCTGAACTAAGGTCTTTCTTTGGATCGATCAATCAGTATATGAAATTCGTCCCGAATTTGTCCGCCCTAAGTTCTCCCCTACGACCACTTCTCGTGAAGAAATCAGTTTACCAATGGAACGACGAACATACCAAAGCATTTGAAGAACTAAAACAACAGATAGTGAAGATAACAGAGAATAACCACTTCGACATAAAAAGGATGTCAAGACTCAAGACAGACGCTTCCCATAACGGCTTAGGAGCTACCCTAGAACAATGGAATGGAGAAAATTGGGTAACAATAGCATTCGCCTCCCGATTTTTAAACAACCACGAAAGTAAATATTCTACAAACGAACTTGAATTGTTGGGAGTAGTCTGGGCTACAGAACATTTTAAAAATTACTTGTATGGTGCCGAATTTGAAATTGTGACGGACCATAAGGCATTATTATCAGCATTAAATGCAAACCACAGCAACAAAACAATGCATAGCAGATTAACCCGTTGGGTAAATCGACTGTTACCATTTAATTTTAAGATCAAGCACATTCCGGGAAAAGATATGGGATTTACAGATTTATTGTCGAGATTACCTTCGGGTAAAGCACTCCCTACATCACATTACGATAGCGAATTTGTAGTGGCAACAGTAAAAAAGATTGTAGAAAACCTCTCTGTAAATAAAGATTGTAAAAAGAATAATTGTAAAAAGAACGAAGCGTATTATCCATTGGATGTAAATACGATTAGTAACTTGGATTGCAATAATCCAATGGGTGGAAAGAAAGATTTATCACAAAGCATCCAACGGTCGTTCTTCTCGAATATTCTGAATTACGTAAGCGACACTATCAGAATTTGTAATTCCAATCACTCGCGTTCAGAGTCTTGCACAAGCGGTTGTGTTCCTTTAAACTTATCAAAATTCGATTTCAATTATTTTTACCTTTCAGACAAAACTTTTTTATTCTCTCTTTCCCAATCAGTATTATTAATCAATCAGTCATTAAATTCAGATCAAGAAAAACTGTTACGAGATTTTATTACATCGGTTAGCGTGTTAAAAATTTCCCTCAGGGCAGAAAAGAAAGGAATCTTTTTGAGTTTTAATAACGACATAATGTCAGATTTACACAAAAAAACTGTTGGCCAAATACAAGGGAGATCTCAGATTGCCAGACAACCCGTTATCACTATCAGATCATTGTTCGAATAAGCTGATTAAATTCATGACGGACGAAGACAAAATCCTCAAGGAAGTAAAGAAGGCAGTACTCGAAGGCAAACCATTGGACAAATTCGGTGCCTATTTGAAGAACTTCCAGAGGGACATACATGTGAAAGAAGGGCTGTTATTCAACGATAACAAACTGATAGTGCCGGCTGCATTACGATCACCTTTTCTGTCACTCCTTCACGAGACTCATCCAGGGCAGTTTGGGATGAAAGCCTTGGCAGAAAACATCTGGTGGCCACACTTATACAGAGAGATATACCACCATGGAAAGAATTGCACCCAGTGCATAATGGCCGGTAAGAACCTAAAAGTGTTACTGGGGAAGAACAAAACTGAGAAATTACCGAACCTGACCGAACCAAATGAAGAAGTAGATTTAGACTTCGCCGGCCCATTGGACAAGAGCTGGGGTAACGGAAAATACCTTTTGATATGCATTGACCGTTTTTCAAAGTTTCCATCTGCGAAGATAGTAAACAACACCTCGACTTCTTCAATCTTAAACTTCATGACAGATTACTGCCATCTTCATGGATTTCCAAAGTCCATTAGAGCCGACCATGGGTCATGTTTTACTTCGTTTGATTTTAGAAACTTCTGCGAGAAGAACAACATTAATTTAGTTTTATGTACGGTTGGCGATCATAGATCCAATGGGGTAGTAGAAAGACTCATTTACACGGTCAAAGCTAAGCTTCTGGCAATGTCGTTCAACGATCCAAAACCATCTTTAAATTCGGCTATTGATAAAATTATTTGGAACATACGCTCGACGAAACAACCATCCATTGGATGCTCTCCTTTCTCAAAACATTTTAATAGATCTCCCAACACGTTCTGGAAATCTTTGGTCTCTCACGCAATTAGTTTAGATAAGGGGAAATCAATCATAACGAAGGACAGAGCACAAGACTGGGGGGCTGATGATGCTTTCGAAGACGGCTACCTAGAAGACAGATCAATTGAAGAAAGAGGCTATGAGAGCGACCCCGCTGACAAAGTAGATAGAAATCTTCAGCGAGCCCCACTGTCAGCCAAGGAGGTAACTGGTTTAGGAAAACAGTTAACAGGAAGGAAGGAGAACCTTATTTTAAACCACTGGGAAATAAACCCATGTCAGACACGAAACATACGGTCACATTAGATAACGGACATGTGATAAGAAAATCGGACTTAGCCTTTAGCAAAACCCAACCGGCAGCTCCTAAGACCTTCACGGCAAGACCGAAAGCGCTAATTAATAGTAATGATTTAGCAGGCAAGCGAAAAAGAAACTCCCCTTCCAAGAGACGAGACTCGAACATAGGAGGCCCCTCGATGACTTTCACACCAACGGTTGGAAACTCGAGCAAAAAGAGGAGACCATTCTACACGACCTCGAAAGGTTCAAAATTACATGACAATAATCTTGATTCGTCGTTAGAGTTAGACCTTTGGGATAAAGTCATTGACGACTACTTGGGTACGGAAGCGGAAATGGTATATAATACACCAACTGTTAAACTTCATAGTGATTTAGATCATTCAAGGAGTACTACACAAAGACAGATCAACACTGAGACAACTGTCAATATACCAACGGGGACAAGCGATGACCCAATTCGAGTGGATAGCTCTCCGGAGAAGACAGTGGAGACACCAAAAACCCCGATATCTTCGAAACATCGTGCTAGAAGAAATCCAGGCCCCCCGAAATTCTATGGCGATAGACGGTTTATCGACCAAGTGACGCTCAGTACGGAGACGATTAGTGCAGTAGACTCCGATGACGAACCGCTTATTACGTTTTCCGGTGCGAAGAGTCCGAAACAAACTCCTTCATTCGGTATGACGTCCCCCTCAGATTATCTAACACCCATTGACGAGATCCCACGTCATACGATCTTGGTTGCTGAAACCACACAAGACGAACTCTCAACTCCTTCCTCTCAGGCGATAAGGACGGCATGTGTATCGTCACCATTGGTAGAAGTTACCAGTAATGCTCAGGAGGACAACATTAGCGACATTTCCTCGGGTATCGACACCGATGTAAGAATAGAAGCGGATAATTTCCACACTAGATACAATTCTACGGTCTCAGACTCTTAAAACTTTTAAACTGTGGTAACATGACATGTTACGTATTTGATTTAGCTCGTATCCATTGGATACCTAGAACTTAATTTTTTTTTCTCTTCTCGTGTAGTATTTACCTAGTTAGTGAGTTAGTTAGTTGTTTTTAATTGTACAAACATCACATAACCCACATTTGTACATATCATTTTGTACAGTCAGTGTTGATATCTGTATAAACCTGTAAGTAGCCTGTATATATCACCATATAATTACCTCCATTGTAATTTGTACTCTCTGTAAAAATCCATTGGTGCTAAATGCGGTTACGTTTTGTTTCTTCTTTGGCCCTGGTGGAGCGAGGGGAGATGGAGTGTATGTGTGATATTGGTTACATCGTTGAGCGGGCAGATATTAATTTTCGTGCACTGGGGAATGTTGTGATTCAGTATTTTTAGTATGTTATAACCTTGACCTCTATGACCTAATTACATACCAGTCAATAATAACTCTACGAAGTCCAGTGGACTTCGAGTCACTAGTTGCTCTTTTTAGACTACAGTCAGTTTTAATTCAAACATTACTTTTATCCTCTTTTAACTTTAGTTAGATACTCAAGTTACCATTGGTACATCTTAACTCTTTATTATTGCCAATATAAGTTATGATCCATTAAGCGCTAGATTTTTGAACACACATTTGTCTTACTGAGTCATTTGTCCTGTCAGGGAAGTTTGGATTGGTATTTTATGCCTAAGCTACTTATGTCTTTATAAAATGAACGTCAAAAATATCGTACAAGAATATAAATGCGTCAGCAAAGGTGGTTGACGTTTGCGCTTTGTTTGCATTTCTAATTAATCGTTGGACTGCCTCGCGATTTTGGTAAAACTCGGTCAGCAACGGTTCTTTACCAAGTGAAAAACTCAATAGTTTGGCCCCTAGGGTGTAAATGAAAAGATCGTACTTATGTTTAAATTTGCGCTGCGAGTCTACTGTTGGTCTGGTATAAGCGAAGCTGATTGTGTGCTTTATTCGGATATCCCTAAAGTTTTTGCGAAGTTTTCAAATTTTAAAGACAAATTCTAATGAGAAAGTTGTAATAAAAACAAATTTGCTTTATATCAGGACAAAGAAAACGAATGTCATCACTGACATTTAACGTCGATGAAAATAATTTAATCGATGAAAATAATTTAGTTCAAAAATTATTGAAAAATAATCAAAAAAAAATCAAACTAATTTTTTTCATTTTTGTGTTTAAGTTTATCCTCCCATACGCTTTGTAACAAAAACGTACTGAGCAGAATCAAGTCGCTGCGCACGCGCTAATAGCCCGATATATTTTGCGCGATAACTGTCCCAAGTTAGCCAAATTATCAGTTTTAAAGCACCGCAATTTCACCAATTTTGAGCTCAAAACGTCAATACATTGCAGATGGTTTAAAATGTAATCAATACAAAACTAAATGAATATCGAAAATTTTGTGAAAACGTCCCTATTACTAATAACCGCAGAAAAAAATAAGAAAAATTTTTAAAATCTCTACCATCGTTCCGTCATTTGGTTCCTCCATGATGAGGAGTAACCTTCGATCAATTTTACAAAAAATGATTGATGTGGAGCTCAGGGCAATAATAGTTTTCAGATTATATACGAAAAACGATCAAGAAGGCTAGTTAAAAACTCGAAGCGTGGCAGAAAAAACCACAAGGAAAAAAGTTCCGTCACTGTTTTCGAAAGTCAGAACAAAAACTATATTCAATCTTCATAGTCGCTTTGTGTTAAAAATCAAGGATCTTCAATTTCTTTTCAATTTATTTACTTTTTACAGGTTTTCTAAATCATTCAATTTGTTTATGCTGTTTCGGAAAAGAAGACACGCCGCACCTTTTCGGTTTGTACAACTCAATCAAAAAATGTTTAAAAAAAGGTTGTCGCCAGTAAATTAAGGTCATAAAATTAGTTGAAACGAGATTTCAGATGTCCAGCTAAAGAATAAGCCTTGAAAAACCCTTTCACGCAATCTGAGTTAGAAGTGCCCCCCCTTGACTAACAGAGCAGAAATCTTTCTATCAAGCCAGACAAAAGCAGCAATCACAGAACCAGAGAAGTTCTTTGCGTGATATCATCTAAAACTACGTCAACTTAAGTCATCTCAAAGTCAATCTATAAAGAAGCAAATGATCATGTTGCGATTCAACCACCCGCAGGTTTAAATGAACAAAAGTACTCGTTATGGCTCGCATGTCACAGTGAAACCAATTTATGGACGGTGAGAGATGATAAAGAGTTTGACCAGAGGGCTCAAAAGTTCTGAAGTTTTTCTGGTCAGTGTGTCATGTATGAGTCGCAACAGTTCGATACTTTACAAATGGTCACGAAATGAAAGCATTGACAGATGTTTTTTTCACTCATAAAAAATTTGTTCAACCAGCGCAAACGTAGCTTACGGTTTTCTGTTAAAATACCAAGTCAAGTAATTTTCTTTTTTACGATCACATCGTTTAATTTTACAGACCAAGCTGACAAGAAGTACATGTGACAAAACATCCCTAGATTTTCAATAAACTGCATAATCATATGTAGCAGTCCAACTAAAATGCAGCCATGTACCAGGTTTGGAGTTTTCGAGTGAAAAAGGAGTTTTTCAATAAATATTAGAAAAAGACTGGATTTCTGTTCAATAAAAAGTGCTGGCGATGTTATGTGAAAACTGGCCTAATGATCATATGGGTTCCTTTGGTGCCAATGTGAACCTTTGTGGTAATAATTTCTTTTCTAGTAATAATTGCGGTTCCTGCGAATCGCAAAAGAGCAATCAGTTGGCCTGAACAGCCTTCTAGCTAGAACCTTAAAGTTGCACCACTAATTTGGCAATATGGATCCAGCAGTGGTAGACCTGAAGCTAGAGGTCAGGCCAGTGTTCTTCCTCATGTATGCTACCCTTGCCAGGGCAGGGAATCGAACACGTGATCTGACGTTCTCAGAGTGAACGTCTTATAACACAAGGCTACGAGCCACTAAGTCAAAATTTTACGTGGGGAAAACGTGCCATTTTACAATTTATCTGATAAAAGATGTTGAGAGTATCTCGAAACGTAAGAACAAAAGATAGATCAGAAAAAAAAAGCTATCGAAATTAATTTATCGTACAATTTTACTTTCCAGTGACTACTTTCTTTCATTATGGGCAAAACACTTTTTTATAATAAAAAAAATAAAATGTTTTCAGGCACAAAAAATGCAAAAGTACAGAAGATGACACTTGAGTAAATTTACAACAGCCTGGGGATCACCATTGGATCTATAGATCCGTTTTCAGGTGACTCGGAGCGGAAAAGTTTGTTGCTATGAGTTACAGGTTCAGCCAATTGCTACGAAGTAACTTACCCATGGGACCATCGAAGATTTGAAAATGAGCTCGTTCCTCCAACTCTGCAACACGTACTTGGAAGAGCCAAATCTCCACTCTTTGAACACATCCGGAAAAATCTGTTCTTCATTTTCTATCGCACATGGAGCCACCGCAAAGGCATCAAACTGCCAGACTTTATTCAGTTCGGAACTGAAAATTGGAATAACCGGAGCTTTCAGTTCGGAATTTTTCACCTCTGCGACGTTGACATTTTTCATTTTCGCATCTGTAGCTTGGTTGCAAATAACATTTTTGAACTCAATCATGAGGTAGCTCAAAGATGATAACTCAGACTTTATTTCAATCCAGGAAGAGTCGCAGCTGATTGGGTTGTTTGCAAAATTAACTGATACTGATTTAGATCTGCTAAACATCTCTTGGAATCTCTCTAATGGAAAGTTCGAAATTAAATTGTCCTCGAAATTCAAATTTAGCTCAGCAAAACTGCAGTCAATAAAGGGAACTTCTTTCAGCCTGTTTCCAATTAAATTCAGATTACGTAACTTTTTAAGCTGCGCAATTTTGGAGTCAATTGAGATTTCTTTGGCCATATTGTTCTGAAGCGTGAGCGTCTCCAAGTTGGGAAAATTTGCAAAACTTTTAAACTCGAGATGTGACATGCTCAGTTTATTCAAAGTTATTGATTTGATTGTCAGAATCTTAAGTTTAGAAGGAATGATTTCTGATAGATTCGGTCCGTCTGTTATTTCGATGGTCGAAAACTTCAGTCGCCAGTTGGCAGTTGATTCTGAGAGTGTGCTGGAAGTGAGAAATTTTCCGAGATCAAAAGTGCCGATAGAACCACATTCAACTTTTATCAGGAATTCATACTCGGACACCTGAAATAGACATTTTCCTGAGGATTAACAATTTCGATGTTTAAATTCTTGAATGGAGGATTGTTAAATCGACAAAAAATCTAAATAATGGTAGTGCAAAAAAAAACTCAAAAATTGATAAATTGAGAAAATCTGATCCATAATTATCAAACTCCATTCCAACAGAGAGAATCAAAGACCCACAAAATGAAGCATACTAACAATTTTGCTGTAATCTTGCTGGACTTCAAGTTCATCACTAGAGGGACGAAAGGTGATCACGTGTTGATCTGCATCTACTTGGTAGATCCAATTGACCTTTTCTACTTCCACGTTTCTTCTCTTCGAAGGTCGTTCATTTGAGAATATCGATGGAATCAGAAAGATTTGAGTCAAGATATGTAGCTGAGTAGACCACATTTTGCGGAGGTCTTTTGGGAGAAGTTAAAATACTCCTGGAAAAAAGTATGATTACTCTGAAGCACAAAAATTAGAGTATGTTTTTACTACCTGACGTAAAGAGCTGATATAGTTTTACAGTAGAGCGCAGTTTTGGGAGAAAAACCAAAACTTCCTGGGATATTTCCAGGTTTAGTTCCAGCAAACATTTTGTCATAAAAAAACGTTATTTTGTATTCTTTTAACTTTTCAAAACGCCAATTCTTTTAACTTTTCAAAACGCCTAAATTTTGTTTTGTTTACTTATTTTACTTTTTATGTACTATATCTTGGATTTTTTAAACCTAGGTTTTATCTTCTGGTTTTATACTTACTAAAGCAAATAATTCTCGAAAGATGAACCATTCACAAACAAACGGCAGTTTGAGTTGAATAAAACAGCGAATGAGTTCAGCACGCATACGAATTTAGAAGTCAGTTTTTTGCAGCTTCTACAAACACCTGCGTAGAAAAACGGTAGAATCTTTCTGCCGGTTGATTGAACTAAATTGTTAGTTGTGATTACAAACCACAACACACTCCATTCCGTCTGCTGCGTAAAAATGACTCATAATCTACCAATAAATTATAACCTTTAAAGCAAAAAGTAATGCGACTTACCTTTTGGAATTATATCGAAGAATATACTGTCATCTATCACGTGATACTGTTATCTTTTTTACCTCGGATTTTTTGAAATCAAATTAACAATATGTTATAAGTGGCTTTAATAAGAATGAAACAAACTTGAGAGATTAAAAAATAAGATCAATTAAGTAATAAAATTAATTTTAAGAAGCCGATCAGAAATATATCGAGCATAAAGGATAGTTTTGGTACAAAATAAAAGACGCTCTTGACTTTGATTTTGATAAAGTATAACTCCCTTTAAGAATTGATTTTTTCAAATGAGCAAAGATATCATCAATCGATAATCAGTGAGCATCAAAGTAATATTCGGCGGCCATCTTTTTAGCAAGCGATTCTGAACAACAAATTTGCGGCATCAGATGCGCTTCGAGCAGACTTGCACAGACAAAAGAAAAACAGCTTAAGTTTCAGAAATAAGAAAGCAAAAAACTATCAATTTTCTAAACGTTTGCTCGATGGTTTTGTATTGAGATCGTTATACCGGTATAAAAGTAAGCAGTCAGAAACTTGAGATGAAAGCGAGTTGGCTTTTTATTCAATTTGTCATTAAGTGTACGGTGCCGAAGTTTATTACTCTCGCCTGATTTATTATCAGAATTTTTATCGAAAAGTTACCGTACCTTTGGCTCAGTTTAGCACAAAAATCAGCAAGTTTACGACTGCTGCAGTTTCTGAAGGCGTTGGTAAAAATAAACATTGGTAGTCAATTTGGTAGTCAATTTTTTTTGTAGCATACTACAATTTTTTTTGGTTACAAACAGGTCCCTGGAAAATCCTAAGATGGTAGTTTTTATTTACCGAAAAAGCTAAACGAATAACGAACGGGTTACCTTCAAAAAGAACAAAAAATGACAGTAATCATGAAATTGACTTGTCAATAAATTGAATGATTGGAGCCCGAATTTAGATGAACTGTACTCTGTATAATGAACATATGCAGCTCGTCTCAGCGTTAACTTTAAGATTGCGTAGCACAGTAGCTTCAATTGGGTTTGAATATATAACACAAAAACATAGTTTCCTCGCAACAAAAACGAAACTAAACGTTTCAAATAATTCATATTAACAAAGTTCTGTTTCTATATTTATAGGGCTCATATAAGTTATTTTTATAAACAAAAGGGAATGTGGCAAACGAGTACCTCAAAAAGGACCCTTTGAGTGGCCGAGGATGTATCGGATTTCTTTAGTTATCTACCCCTAGGGTACCTAATAACGAATCTCCCCCTATAAAGAAGTAAACCAACGGTTAATGTGACCGCGCTTAACTCAAACCCTAAAATATCTCACAAAAAAAAATAAGTAAAAGATGAATTAACCAAATTGAATTATATCTGGAAACGGCATAAATTGCAGAACTTGTCGATATAAACGGATAAATCATTCAACAAAATTGGCACTTTCACGGCTTATCGTGTTAACATAACAGCATTTTTGTGATATACGGTAAATCACATACAGGACGGCAATTAACTGTCAGACAAGGTCATTTTGCTATGTTTTATTATTAGTTTTAGTTATATAAACGTTTGTGTTCGGGAAAAAACATTGGGTTTTTTAAGGGCTCGAACCTACGCCGAACCGGTTTGGTCAGTTTTTTCAGCTTGGTTCTAGACCACTCGGCCAACTGATCTTAATTTAGGTCAATTTACTCGGTTTTATATTCTCGCTTATGAGAGGTTTTTTGCGTGGCAACATCCTCCGCCCCTAAGGACGCGAGGACGGGCGCGAGTTTTACTGCCGGACGAGTAATGTCACCATTTAAGGTTTTTTTAGCACAGCAGATCGGGCCACCTCGTCTTTTCCGAAGTTGAGCGTTTTGATGCGTGCTAAAGGATAATAACCTCCGGGGTTGGCGGACTCTACTATCCACACTATATCGCATGTCTTGAGTTCCTTTTCAGGAGAGGAACGCCAATTGGCTCGCTTATTGAGACCTGGCACATACTCGCCCAGCTATCGTGACCACATTCCTTTTGCATATAACATTCCAGTTGTTTTCTACGGTTGAAATCTTCCTCAAAGCTTAAGGAAGGGAATTTCGCACTTGGCTGCACAAGCAGGAGTGGTTAGGCGTGATAGCTTCCAAACTATCCGTATCACAGTTTATTGGAGTCAGTGGTCGCGCATTTAAAGATTGCTCGACCAAGCAGAATGTTGTATCGAGTACTTCTGGCGTTAGTTTGCGTGTTCCAAGTATCGAATAAATGCACGCTTGCAGGACCTTACCAGACGCTCCCATGAGCCACCTTGATGTGGCGCACTAAGTGGTTTGTTTTTCCACTTTATACCTTTGTGCAATAATCGGCTGGGAGCCTGCTGATTCCATGATTGCATGCACTTTATCATTTCCTTCTCGGCGCCGACAAAGTTTGTGCCGTTATCCGACCAGATGACGACGGAGTTCCTCGGCGGGCAATGAACCTCTCAATACCCATGAGGCACGAATTGCCATCCATAGAAGGTACAGTTTTACTATGGGCCGCTCGTGTCGTTATGCAAGTAAAGAAAAAGCCCCACCGCTTCTCTGAGCTCCTACGGACAGATACATGAAAAGGGCCGAAATAGTCAACTCGGCAGTAACAAAAGGCAGGTTTTCCTACCCCAAACGTTCTAGAGAGAGATCCGACATCATGGGGTTGATGCGCTTGAGATGAAGATAGCGAAGGAAAAGTTAACCAGATAGTGACGAGCATCTTGTATCACAGGATGCTTTGCTTTGAAACTGATTTCAACAAGACGCCGAATGCGACCAGTTGAGCGTAAAAGACCACTTGGCCCTATGAATGGAGAATAAACCGCTTTTCGACTAGACTTTTTTTACGGATTTGTCGCTGTCAAGCAGTTTGTTTTCTGCGCGGAAAGGATCGATTTGGGAGAGCTGAAGGAGCTTCGCCTCGGCTAATTCAAGCTCCGAAGGCTCGGTTACACTTCTATCAGACGAACGGAAGTGCGTGTGTCTAGGAATAAGCCTTAGAGCATATGCTGCTATGCGCAAGAATTTAGGGAAAGAGCTGAGCTTTTCCTAACTAATGATAGGATTATCGGCTCCTGTATCTGATTTGTTAGCAAGTAGAGAGACTCCAACTACATCTGATTCTTTGAGGCTTATTTTATTTACAACATCTAGAGATGGTTGAAATGGCAAGACTGCAGTTTTCAAGAAACTCGGTCCCTTGACCCAACAGTTCTCATGAAGCGCTTCGGCTGCAGTCCCTTATGTACTTGTGTCTGCGGGATTATCATCGGTTGATACGTGATACCATTCATCTACGGTTGATGATTGCAACATCTCGCCAACTCTACTGGCTACGAAGACAACTTTCTTATCATCTCTGTGGAGCCACTGTAATAGAGTTGTACTGTCAGAGCACATGAACGTTTGGGCTATCTGAATGTTCAAGGCTTTATGAAAGTCTTCTTTAAGCCGAGTAACCAATAAAGGCAGCTTGCAGTTCGAGTTTGGGTATAGACATGTCTTTCATTGGCGCTACACGAGCCTTTCCAAACACGAAACTGACCTCTGTCTCCTGAGATTCTGACAGGAGACCACGAAGAAACCCAAACGCACAGAGGATTTCGAGCGAACTGTCGCCAAACATGTGTAGTTCTATGGTATCTACAGGCGCACTGAAGTAAGCGCGAGGGATGGTCATTTTTCCTAGCAATGGTAAGCATGAGTATCACTGCAAAAACTTGTCTATAATGTCATCAGGCAAGGGATCGTCCCATTGTTGACATTTTAGACGCCAAATTTCCTTTAACTGGAGGCGGGGCTAGTACCGTATAAGGAGCAACAAGACAAATGGTGTCAAACACTGATGACACCAAGCTAAGCACGGTTCGTTGTGGGATGACTTTCTGCGGATCACGACTTACACCTCGATTTACTACCAGGGTGTTTTTTATGTGATCCATTTCAGGCCTATGTCATGCGACGAGCTATCGGGACATACAAGTAATTCTTTAACATTTTCGATTTCTTTACTATTCAGGTTGAGCTTCCTTGAGATCTTATGAAAATTACTGATAAATTTGGTCAACTTAAATCCTCCTTTAATAAGCATCTCAACTAAATCTCTACTTAGGTTCACGGCTTTTTCAGCATTCGGCATGGAGTCCAAGTAGTCATCCATGTAAAATTTTTCGCAAACAGCTGAAGCAGCTTCAGGATAATTGGACTCATTGTCTTTAGCTGTCTGCTGTAGAGCGAATTTTGCGCACGTTGCTGAGTCCCTTGCTCCAAACTTATAACGAGTGTATTGTTATACCATCACTTTTGTTGATGGGTCTTCCCGCCAAAGAAAACGCAAAGATGGTTGGTCTTCCGGAAGGACTCCGACTTGGAGAAACATTCCCTCGATTTCGACAGATACAGCAAACTTATGTGGACGGAAACAGAGTGGGACATACAGTAAGCTTTGCAACAAATCTGGATCAACATGAAGCGATTTGTTGAGCGAAAAACCATGAAACTTGGAAGCTCCGCTTAACACTCTTCGGACCTTTGCGGGTTTGTTTGGGAAAAAAACAGACCAAAACAGGCGTTTTTACCAAAGTTTTTACCAAAAAGTTTTTACCAAAAATTGCGTTTTTTTTTCAGCGAGGGTCTTCCCTTTCAAATTTATCCAGCCAAAATTGATATCTTAAAATAGTACAAAGACATAGAAAACAACTCTTATTTACTCCAGTTTCCGATATCGTCACTAGAGAGTTTTTTTAGATTCAAATTTCTTCCCGATTTTGTCCAAAATTTTTGTTTGTATTTTTTAACGACATTAGTTTTTGTTTGGTAGGACTTAATACTAACTCTAGAGTTCCCTTGGCCTGCTTTTGATATGTCAGTAGTGCTTTGAGCTATTTTTATTCGAAAATAAACAAAACGAAGGATCAGTCAACTGATAGACCAAATTCTTTAAAAGATCCAATCGAAAAATCAACTATGCGAAAAAAAACAGTACTCACAAAGACTTATACAAGCACTATTTATTACTTTTACAACTTATACAAGCAGACTTGTTTGAGCAGCAGCGCCCGGATCAAGAATACCCAATTGAAGGATAGAATTGGCATAAAATTACAGTTTTACCTAAGCTTCAGCGTATAATCTATTTGAAAATCAGTATAATATCAACACGAAGACAAAACGGAGCTTCGCATTACTAGAAATAAAATGCATGCAGAGCTTCCATATATTTCATGTATATTTCAATGGAGATTTAGAGAAGTGTTTGCTGGTCGATAGCATCAAAAGCTTTTTCTATCAGCATTTTGGCAAAGATTTAAAAATCTGATTGCTGCCACAAATTTTACACCAATTAGGAGCAAAAACATAATCATCAAAGCTTTTTTCTAGAAACTGAAAAAAAATGTCCCCAAAACTTGTCTAACTAATTGTCACATTGGGTTACAACCCGATTATTTTGACGAACTTCTCAATAAGAGTTAATACTTCGGTAAGGCCACGGAAATATGCAATTGATGAATGCTCATGCTAAACGTAGACTTGAGTTGTCCTAGCGTCATCTTACTGATCTAGAGTTCGAATTACTTTAAAAAATAATTTCTTATTACAAATGAAAACAATTAAAAGCTCATTCTTGATGCATACGGATATTTCAAATGTGTTGCAAATGGGCTGCCACGTCATTATTTTTTTCCGTCTAGTTTTTTGGACAACTTCAGAAAAAATTTATTGCCCGGAAAGCGCTATATAAAGCTTCGGCACCTAGAGTAAAAAATGCCACTGAGCAATGAACTTTTTTCTATAATAACACTCGTTTTTTCGCTGAAGTTGAGATTTGGGCACCACGTCTGAATTTTGTAGGAAGCAAAGTTCTGTTTTTTTTTACCGCTCCAATAGAAATTTGATTTTAATTACAACACGCTTTTAAGTACTTTCTATATCACAACTGCGTTGTCAATGACTGTGGTGATCACTAATTAAAGCTCTAATGAAGTATTTACAACCATTATTTACCAATTTTTATTCTGCTAACTGAAAAGGGGAACGAACTTTCGATACAGATGTGTTAAGTGCTTTTAACTTTTCTTCAATGCCAAATCATGTATGACAAATATCATTAGAATGGGTTGATTGATAAATCACATTAGAGCTTTTTGAGTTACAATTCAATCTAGGGTAAAACTTTTTCAAAGTTTCCAAAAACCGTTCGGAATATTTGGCCTTATAGTCCAATTAGTAGATAGTAAAGCATAATGCTTTCAATTAAACTTCGAGAACTTAGCCTATCGCTTCGCGAAACTAATTCGATAATTAATGCAGCGCTTTCTCCTGATCTTCAACGAATCTAAAATATTGAATAGATAAATAAATTAAACTTAGCTAACATAGTTGAAAAAATGTCAATGAGCTCATGATTTAATTTATCTGAAAAAATTTCAATGATTGAAATTTTAAAAAAAATGGGCCACCTATGAATTCTTCGGATTTCCAGAACCTTGAGTGCCTGACACTTTTTTGCAAAACTAACCCAATTTGAAAAAACTGAATCAAAGGATAATTTTTTTATTCCGGTCGGAATTCTCAAAATCGATTTTTGAAACGAGTTAATCAAAATTTCTAGTACAATTCGGCTTTTTTTTACTCGAGTGCACACTTTTCTTTCTTTTTGGAGAATGACTTTCTTTCTTTTTGGAGTCAAGATCAAAATAAATCATAAGCAAAACTTTGAGGACTTTCTCTAAAACAAAATCATCACCTAAAACAAAATCATCAAGACCTATAAGTGCTTTTACCCCATCATAGAATTTGAACAAAAAATTAGAACAAGACTGCTCGTATCAGGGCGAATCCCTGAATGTTCCGACTGCCTTTTAAGGTCTATGAAGCAGTAATAACATGAGAAAGTTAAATGTAAAAAAGAAAAGAAAATCAGATGAAAAAAAATTTGTATAAAAAAATTGGAGATGTTTTGTAAAAATCATCCCCCCACACGCCATATAAAGTACAAAGTGATGATTTTCGCTTCCAGTAACACATCAATTATGGCAAATAAGCTTCTTTCAACCAGTTTGCAACGATCTCTAAGACGGATTAAATCTCCGCTTACGCGTTAATAGCGCGAAATATATCGTGCTTTAATTGTCCCAAATTGGCCAAAACGCCAATCTTTAAACCCCCATAATTTTTCAAACAATGATCACATGCAAAATGTCTTTTCAAATTTAAGCTCAGGACAACAATAACTTTTGAATGATATAAAAAAATTCCGTCAAAAATGGTTAGTTAAAAAGTCGCAATTTGTCTGAAGAAAAAAACCCACCCCGAGCACAAATATTCCGTTACTTTCGTATCGAAAGACGGAACAAAACCTGTTTCAATAAATTGTTTTCATTTCTCTATTAATTCAGCAAAAATAACTCCTTTCCAATTCAACTTCAAGTTCCAGGAAATTTTTTCGCTCCTCTGTTCAACCACGCAAAGAAAGCAACTCAAATTTGAAAACATAGGCGCTACGCGCAATACACCGAAGGCATAGAAACTGAAGCAAAAACCAAACAACTTGAACAACTAATAATTGAAGAATATCAGTTCTAGAACAAAAAATCGTACTAATACATGTATACACCAAAATTTTGCTATATCGAGAAAGAGCCTGAAATAACAGTTCTAGAACTAAAAATCGTACTAGCACATGTATAGGTTAAATTTTTGATATATCAACGAAGATCATAAAATAACACTTCTAGAACTAAAAATCGTACTAACACATGTATACACCAAAATTTTACTATATTGACAAAGGGCCTGAAATAACAGTTCGTGAGCTAAAAATCGTACGAACACATGTATACACCAAAATTTTGCTATATTGGCAAAGATCATGAAATAACAGTTCGAGAGCTAAAAATCGTACTAACACATGTATACGTCAAATTTTTGCTATATTGACAAAGATTATGGAATAACAGTTCTAGAGCTAAAAATCGTACTAACACATGTATACACCAAAATTTTGCTATATTGACAAAGATCATGGAATAACAGTTCGAGAACTAAAAATGGTACTAACACATGTATACAATAAAATTTTGATATATTGACAAAGATCATGAAATAACAGTTCGAGAACTAAAAATCGTAATAACACATGTATACACTAAAATTTTGATATATTGACATAGATCATAAAATAACAGTTCGAGAACTAAAAATGGTACTAACACATGTATACGCTAAAATATTGCTATATTGACGAAGAGCCTGAAATAACAATTCTAGAGCTAAAATCGTACTAACACATGTATACACCAATATTTTGCTATATCGACAAAGAGCCTGAATAAACGTTGTAGAACAAAAAATCTTACTAACACATATATACACCAAAATTTTGCTATATTGACAAAGAGCCTGAAATATTGACAAAGGACCTGAAATAACAATCGTAGAACTAAATGTATATATAAATAGAAGAACAGATAATTAAATAAATAAAGATGAACAGATAATTAAATAAATAAAGATGAACAAATAAAGAAACAAACATACGCAATCACGTGACATAGCGCGATATAGTCCAGCCCACATGATAATTGATAACTGTGGACGTTATTTGTCGACAGTTGACAACAGACAACATTAAAAAAAAAACCCGTTACACGATACCATAACACCTTGACTAAAGTCTTCGGTGTAAAAATGAAAGAGCATTGCTCCACTTAACACTCACACGCGAAATATGATAAGATTGCAGTCACGGAAGACAGGTTCAAGTTTCAAAATGACCAAATTAGCTAATACTTTGATGTCGTTTCCTCAATCTATTTGAAGAACGAAACTGTTCTTGAAGATCATTCCGGATCACAAATTAGTTTCCAACAAAGCGTTTTCTGGTATTTCTATCGACGATTGTCAGCGATGTGTTCTAGAAGCCGAAAATCTTTGCAAAAGCACAATGAGTTTGAATTTTTGTTCTCAAAACTCCATTGACAAACAGGACTTTAACGGCCATCACATAAATTTCCCTTCCCATGAAAACATACCAAAACTTGCAGAGAACATTTATCTGACAATTCACCAAAATAATTACTATATAGCTAACATCCGGGTGTTTATTTAAATGATCAGTTTTCCAATAAACAGCATTGGGGTTTACTTGAACATTTGGTTAGTTCAGTTTTCTGTTTTTGATCCGGCTTGTTTTATCCATCATACGTCAAACTTCAGTCATGAATTTCAACGACGAAACATTTAAAAATGTTCGTTCTTTCTTCTGTTGAAAACTAAAAGTCTCTTGAAGTTTCTGAAAGGTCAAGTGGGAGCTAGACATCACACACAATTGCAGCCATGACATGGCATCGAAACCTCGCTATGGCGATGCCAACAGAAAGCCCACACCACTATGCTGATGCTTCTTAGCGACTTTCCCAATTGCTTGAAAAACGCCTTCTAGAAAAATATCATTGCCTTAATATTTACAATGCACTAATTCAAAGGCTAATTTTATATTCAATTTTAAAAGGATGAAATATAAACACACTTATGCAACATATCGTATTTACTGCAATCATTTATAGAAGTAACAAAATAGCATGTATATTAAGATCTGAATTTTCAATCAAACGTATTGGAGTTCGAAAACCATATCATGAATAAACTAAATGAAACGCGCAATAATTGTGTCGACATTTCTATTTTTATTAACACACTGAAATCACATAATAGTTTTAGACATACTTGAATGTCGCGATTTATAATGGTCTTTAGTTTTCGAATCAATGTACGTAATGATTGAACAAATAAGAATTCATCTAGCAGTTACATGATCTATTCTTTCGTTTGATCTTGTCCAAATCGACCTTGTTCGGGTCATTTTTGAAGGGGTCTTTGTTGAGTGCGTCCTCTTCGAACTTCTGGAACTTGTCGATTGCTGCTATGAATGCCTTTTCCACATTCTCATTCTTCTTCGCACTTGTCTCGTAATATTCCATATTTGGACAGAGTCGCACAAACTCCTCTATTTCATCCTGCACCAAAAATAAGAGATTCAAAATACGAAGTTCAAAAACTTTTAAAGTCGTTTATCGATCAACTATTATATAATTATATATCGATGGATATAATGATGCAAACCCGTTAGAAAAGATAGGTACAATAGGGGAAGATTGATTGAACAGTAATCGATTCTAAAATACTTACATGATTTTTGTCTATTTTGTATCTAACGTTCAAACTTTTTCATATTTTGGACTATGGACAATGTTAAATGAGGCAATACCTGGTTTACCACTCTGGAATCAGTGGCGTCGCTCTTGTTGCCTAGGAGGACGAATGGGAACTCGTAGTTGTGCACGTCTGCATGGTAGAAAAACTCCTTCTTCCAGTACTCCAGGTTCTCAAATGACTCCCTGTTGGTGAGGGAGAACACTAGCAGACACACGTCACTGCCTCTGTAGAAGGGGGTGCGCAGAGATTTGAACTGCTCCTGACCTGCAGAGGCAATATTCTTAAATTTAATGATAATCATCATAAGTTCTTTTAAGGCTGCTTCATTCATCACATCATCTTTGCATAACTTACTCATATACAAATTTCTGCTTGCGGTAAAATTTCTGCCCCAGTCAAGTCAAACATGCGCAAAATGAGTAAACACGAAAACGGATAATTTTTTAACGGGTAGATTTTCTGGTGTTAAACAAAAGAACACTACGCCAGAAAGTGAGGCTGAAAAAGCAGAACCAAGTACATTTAGAAGCAAAATTAATGACATGAGTCCGTTAGTAACAAATATTTAAAAACTGCAACCGTATTTGGATGATCACTCTTATTGCATCATCGTGTTTCAATGGGGATCGATATTCAGATGCAAGGGAAGCTGTAGCCAGAAAACGACGTCTCTAAAGTGATCCATGAGATACCATAAAACCAGGTTACCTGACCTGAACAACAATGTCAATGAAAGTGGCTGAAAATATTTGACTACGACTCCCCAAAAAAACTAATCCGCCCCCGATACCATTCCGATTTTTTGCGAGTTATCTTAGTTATTATCAATCATGTTTCAACAGTCATTGTATTTATACAATCCAAATACACAAGAGCCAAAGAGTTACTAAAAGACAGACCAGAGCAAGCAACTAAATTAACAGGCAATTTACCATGCACTAAAGTACGTACCTCAAGAGAACTATTAAGCTGAAACGAAAACTTAAGTGATCAAAACATCTAAATAGAAAATTAACAGGTATGCTTTTGCCAATGACAAGACGTTAAGTTACAGAATATACAACACATTCAAGTTTTTCAAGACTGGTTTTCAGACAGATCTCATCAAATAGTTTCCCAACTTCCGTGTATTCACAATTTGAAACTTGACTCCCTGTTACAGGGTCTGAAAATTTGATCTTTTAGACTTTCAGGCTAGCTGATAGGACACAATGTGAGTGTCGGTTACATTATTTATATGAGTGGGGGGGGGGGGGGGGGAGGGGGAGGGGACTGATAATTGGGTCAACGCTAATCCCCATTCGACGCCATGTAGAACACATTTCCAATGACTTTAGATGAATTATGGGGCTGTAGAAGACAAGATAGATATATAATAACATCAAACAAAATCCAACCAGCGGTGTCCCAGATCTGCAAAGTGTAAGTCTGTCCATTCACAATCAAGTCCTTATTCAGAAACTCCACTCCTATCGTCCTCAACAGAGTCTCCGAGTACTTATTCGTCACGAATCTGTTCATTAAAGACGTCTTCCCCACCATCCCATCGCCTAATAGGATGACCTTGAGGAAACTAGCCCGAATTCCCCCTCCCGTATGGGACTGCATGGTTGTTGTGCGTCTGTTGGCCATCTAACACAGATCTGAAATTCACAATAAGTATGATAATAACTATCGGCAAAAATGGTTAGATTACACCTTCCAGAAATCAAAGAACTTTCAGTACACTTATTCAGCGAGCCAAACAAAGGAATTATCACAATTTGCTCCACAACCATAACAGAAGACTGTGTGTATGAGTTATTCATGGCCACTGAGCAGTGACTTCCTTTTTTCACGATATGAGATGTCCATTTTTTTCACAAGTGGTTTAGAAAAAATGGTTTGATTAAATGATTCAACCAAAAACCAACTGATTCAACCGATTTACTTAGAAACGATCAATATTAAACCAATCAATTTTGATTCAATTTACCTACTTTTTCAGGAATGCATTCTGAGTACGAGCCAAGCAGCGGAATCAAAGATTTTTTCCGCGCTACTCCAAATCTTCGCTCTGTCATGTTCCCCCAATTTCAAACAGCGATATGCGGCAATTTAATACACTCTGCTTGTGCCCGAAAAAATTCCAATAAACTTGAACCTTTTGGCTCTCAGTCATTTCCACCCCAATGTCAATGCACGTAATTTAACCTACTGAAATGTTTGATACTGTATACTTATCTTTGATAATATACGTTTAATGATATATGTTTGATGATAAGGGGCACTTAGCATAGTGGTAAGGCGTTCACTTTAGAATCGTCAGATCGTGTAATCCATCCCATGCCATGGCAATGATAGTGGGTGAGGACGAGCTCTCACTTGACCTCTAGCTTCAGGTCTACCACAACCTGACCAAATTTGGCCGCAAAAGTGGTACCACGTGAAAGTTCTAGATGCACAAAAACGGCCTTGAGTCGCAAAAAAGAGCTTCGCTCAACAAAATAACACAGTCTGGAATGTGGGAAATAATACAAACGGACTATCCTCGACAGGACTGTTAAGGCCTACTGATAGCTCCTCTGCGATTCGCAGGAACTACAATTAATTAATTAATTATATACATTTGTTTTATCATACGTATGTTTGATAATGTATATCACAGCGAAATAAAGGGAATGGTTTTGGGGCGCAAATAACTGGGATGGAAATGACTGGGACGAAAATGACTGGGACGGAAATGCGCATGAGAGTATTATAATTTTTTTTTGCCATTTTTTCAAAAGCCGAATTGGACAAACTAAGATTTGGTGAAAAATTTTTAGATTGGTTCAAGGTTGAAAAATCAGGCAATTTTCGACTGGACATCACTGTCAAAGCGGCGCTAAACATGCCACTAAAACTTGAGGGTGAACAATGTGAAAAGCAACCATATTATATAACATTCAAATTTCATGTAATTTATTCAAGTGGAGGTGCTGCATACATCTCTGATTACCAGTTGAAATTCTCTTTTAGATCCATTGTCTTAACTCTGTTAGAGAACACCGCAAGGGCCAAGTTTAATTCAAGAGGCATTTATACCAGTTAGGCTATTGTTATACATACACTCCCTAGTTTAACAAATTATTACCATACTGGTAGAGATTAAAACAGAGTGAAGGAAGAGCATAAATTTATTAGTAGAAATAATCTAAATCTTCATAGATGAGGATTGAACTGTAAAATTAACACCAAACCATTAAGAGCTGCTAAGAAACATCCTATATAAGTATTCAGCATCCTGCATTCCCTTGAAAACAGGGTTGCAATGTTCAAAACAGAGCTTGTTTAAAACATGTTTTAAACACGTTTAAAACACTGTCCAAAACAACACGAATTTCAGCGTTTAAAACAGCGACTCATGATTGGTCAATATTTGAACGCTTTCTGAGCGCGTCATACAATTGAGAATCATTGGAAAATCAATTAGAATCCGAAATTTCATTCCGGTCAAATGGTTTGTAGCAATATCAGTGATTTGTAAGCCAAGTTATAGAACCGTACTAATAGCGCTTATATTCACTGCCTATTTGTTATGCCCATTGTATTTCGGCGAAGATTTAACGGAGAACGAACGCAAGCGTGCATCGACTCGATTAAAGCGAAGCATCCGGAGTGCAACAGTGAAGTCATTAACTTTATTGGATAGAACTTACCGGTTCTAAAAAACGAACTCCAAGAATACACAGACAAAAAAGGGTAAATTTTTTGAACAATCAAATAGCAATGGGAAATATTTCGAAGGAAATTGGAGAAATCGCATTGAAGATGGAAAAACTGTCCCAGTTCAGCTGGTCTTGAAAGAATGTTTTCGACAATGGGCTATATCCAAGACGACCTTCGAAACCGTCTTGGCATGGAAAAACTTGAAAAACTAACTTTCATAAAACGCGTGCTGAGCAGCTAATTTTGTCACTTATGTATATGTTTTTTTTTGTTTTAAACATGTTTAAAACGTTTTAAACGTTTTCTTTTGTCAGAATCATGTTTTTTTGCAACCCTGCTTGAAAAATAATTCTGCGAGCTATGAATATCTGGAACTTACCTTATTGGCAAAGTTTGAACGCGCAATTTACAGTATTTATTTACATTAAATTTCGATTTATTTCATACGTTATTTCGACGTTACAATATAACATGATTTAAATCCTTTGCTCAAAAAACTGATAACTACTACAAAAACAAGGCATGGTAGCGAGTACTTAAAGAAAGCTTGAGCAGGTTGACCACAGCATAGTTGCTTGCGAAAACTTTTCATGTTTCTGCCTGATGGTCTGGGGAGGCCAAAAACTCCTAACCAAAATCTCCTTAAACGATGCTTTGCATAATTTGACTTTTGTGATGCTTTCTCCATAAGGGGATTATGAGGATAAATTATACAAAATTCGTTTTGGAATTTTTAAAAGCTGAAAATCTAGCATCCAAGAACCCATTTGCATCGGTGATTTTGCAAGGACGGTGATTTTGTATCGCGGTCTCTCTAGGCTATCTAAGCTCCATCATAGAAGTAAAGCGGAGCTTCGCGTAAGTTGCGAAGCAAAAAAATCAACCAAAGCTAAAAAAAACAATACTCCACACAGAGGCAAAGCAAAGCATCGCACCACTTGCGATACAAAACAAATAAAGAATGGCAGCTAGCGGAAGGCCACCACCTAAAAAAAAACATTTCGAAAAAATCTTATCGCGAAAATGATTGCCAGCATTCAATAAACATTAGTCGAAATTTATCGATTGGAAATCATGCAGAAAAAACTATAGCAGACTCCCTATGAGCCCGGATAAAATGGTCATACAACATTTTTCAGCTTGATTTTGGAATTGTTTAATGTTCGCTTCGAATCATGAAAAAAAAAAACTAGTTTCTCTCTTCAAACGAAATAAAATGAGACAACAAAATCAATCAAATAAGCTCACGCCATATCGCCTGAAAAACGTTTAAACACGAAAAAAAAATAGCAAATTACTATACAAAATGTTAAAACCGGCAGCATTGAAATTTAAGATTTAGCTTTTTTTCAACGTTTGAAAACGCTCTAAATTCAAGTCAAAAGCGAGTTGAAAAAACAAAAAAAACCTTCGACTTAAGTAGATACACGATATTCCGAAAAAGAAAACTATGAGAAACCGATAACTTTCCAGAAATTTTTTGATTTATTTTGTTGAAAAACTTTTAAATTTTTCAAAATCTAAATATATCATTACAGTGGATCAACTTAAAAAAAGTGGGTCAACAGTTATACGAGCGATTGGGTTTGGCCATGAGCAACACTCCTGTCCTAACCGATGACTGTAGAACTATAAACCCGATTACACTCGAACCTATTTTAATTGAGTGCGCCCGCCCCAAGTCGAGTTGTTTTCTGGATTGACTGCATTACTTACTTACCGGGAAACACAAAGTTTCCACGCAGCTCAAGAAAACGCTCATAGAACGATAGCGCAAGCAACCGCCCGAGTCTAGTCTTTTTATTTTCTCCCATTTTGACCCTAGTTTATCATTATTGAACCGCGGAAGTCTCGAGCCAGACGTACATATTTTGGCAAAATTCCTCGGAGTACACAATGTTCTGAATTGAAATCAGAAGCACATTTCTTAAACTTTTACCATATGCTAGCTTGAAGTTATGTGTTTGCTCGGTTAATAAAATGTCACCAAAAGCAAACATTACGACATATGTTGTCTCTTTCTGATTGGTTTAACCAACAGATGGAATGTTGAAAATATGAAAATGTACGGTATATAAGCCAAGCGAAAATATACCAAATCATCACAATCACAATCACTGTCACTATCACAATCAATCTATATCCAATAACCCATGTTCTATATTTTATGGGTGTCCCCTATATTTGAAATCATAAACTTATTTACGAGTGAAAGAAACTTTGTCTGTTGAATAAGAATAGGAAAGTCTTAACATTCAGAAAGACCCCTTATTCCAACTAGCTGCGATTTGGTCGATCACCATAAATTAAGTCAAGTTAGTTCGGAATAATTGGTGCGACCAGTGAGGCACACAAGTTTCAAAAATTCACTCACAATTAAAATTTTCAAAATTTTGAAATTTTCAAAATCTCAAGAAACAGATTATCAAAATTCAAAAAGTTGAATTTATCAAAATTCCAAAAGTTGAAATTACCAAAAAATTAAATTTTCAAAATTTCACAAAGTTGAAATTATCAAACTTCAAAATATTGAAATCATCAAAACTTCAAAAAAAATTCATATTTTTTCAGGATTCAGAAAGTTAAAAAAAACCAAAACTAATTTTCAAAAGTTGTAGCCTGCAAATTTTGAAAAAATCGTAAAGTCAAAACAAATACATTCAGGGACAATGAAAAAACTGCAAAACAGCATTATGACCAGGAAAATGGGCAATCCAGCAGTGATCCTAGAGGTCGACAATATAATCAAAACGGATATAACCGAACAAATAGTCGTGATTCTGATCGGATCAAGGTCACCAGGATTCAAAATGAACCAAAATCAAGTTGAAAATACCCATTGGGTAGAAGAAGAAACTAACTACTGTAACGCACTGACAGATGTGTTTCCTTTAAACTATTAAAGTCTCCGAAGCCGAGTGAAGATAGCAATCCAAAAGCAAGAATCTA